TCCGTATCTGTTCCATGCTGCTCCATGCTGTTCCATGTCTGCTCCATGTCTATTCCATGCTGCTCCTAGCTGCTCCATGGTGCTCCATGCTGGTTTTGCTGTTCCATACTGCTTCACGCTCTCCCTCACTTGCTTTCACACACATCAGTAGGACATGCAGTAGCACAGAGAGGGTCAGTTCTCGGGGGGGGTGCCGAGGAAAGAATCACTGCGGAGGAGGCACTTGGGCTGAGCCTTGCATGGTAGAAGTTTATGAGCAGAACCAGGAGGGGAAGGGCATTCCCAGGAGAGGGAACAGCATGACCCGAGGCCCAAGGCAAGAGCACGCCTGGCTGACTTAGAGAGGGCAGGTAGCACCTGAGCATTATGGGTCAGAGTACCTCACTCAGTTTCCACAGATGAGTGTTTATTCTGGGCTGCAAGTCAGCAGGTAGATGAGGACACCACCGTTGCAGCGAAGCAAGCCGTGGACCAGGGACAGGATGAGTGCCCTCTCCAAGTGCAGGGCTGGAGGGCTGCAGGGAGGAGGACGAAGAAGGGGGCTCACTCAAACAGCTGTGGGGCAGCAATGCCGGCAGAGAGGACCCCGCACTCAGAGGCCAACACGGAAGGGAGCTTGACCTGCAGGCGTGGTAGGAGAAGAGTGGGTTAGGTGGGGACAGGGAGAGCTGGAAAGAAGGGGGGGCCTCAAGAGGCTAGTGGCGCAATCCAGCTGGGGTGCGGCACAGACCACGGAGGACAACGAACGGATCTAGAGCACGTGACGGACTAGGGCTGTCGCCAACAGGATCCATGGCTGTCTGGGATGCAGGGAGCGAGGGGCAGGGGCTCTGAGGGGCTCCTCAAGGCTGGCCTTAGCACTGGGGGTAGAGGTGCTGTTTACTGAGATGGAGTTGGTGGGTGCCTTCTGGCAGAAGGCCGAGCGCACAGGACGAGGAACCCCGGTGAAGGCCGAGGGCTCTGGGGGCCTCATGTTCCCAGTGTTTCTGCGGAGAGGTAGGGGAGCAGAGGGCAGTGGGCAGGAGAGCGGGATGTCCAGGCCGAGGAGACACGGGGTGAGAGGGGCCCAGACTCCTGGCTGGTGCAGACTGGGTGGGGGGTGGGGAGGTGGGCAGGGGTGGTCCACATAAGGATTCGCAGTGGGTCTTGTCCCTAGGGGCAGCGCAGAGGGGATTCAGTCAGCCCTGCGGCCCACCAGGAGAGAGCATCTCTGGTTCTCCGGTTAGGAAGGGAAGGGGAGGGAGGGAGGGACAGCAATTTGCCAGGAACCGGGCACTTCTTACATATTTGTGTTTTAAAAAATGAGAAAATAACATAAAAGCACAGGGAGGAGTCTTTGAGCTTTCAAGTTTAGGCCAGAGTTTCCACAATAGGGCCCTCAGCCACGATTGCACCACACTGAGAGCCGGTCCCACAAACCTGCGGACCTTGACCTCCGCATCTGGCGGCCGCTCAGGACAGGGAGTGGGAGCGTCTGTGTTTGTTTTTTGTACCATTGCTTTGAGGGCTGAGAGCCACGTCTTTCCTCTTGGGGTGTTTGTGGTTTCAGTGCAATGCATCCAGGCTCGGTGTGGCTCCCGGGAGGGTCTCAGTGTCCCAGGGTTAACACCGGCTTTTAAAAATAACTGACAAAAGAAAACACCTACCAGGAGACTTTCAAAGGCGTCCGTGCCCTCAGAGGAAAGGCTTACATCAGCATGAAACACGAGGATGAAAGTTCTCCCACCTGCCCCTGGAATTCTGGTTGGGACACGGTGTTACTGCGTGGCGGGTAGAACCAAGCCCAGGCTCTGCTCTTCCTCTTGCAAGGCCCCTCTGCACCCTTGGGCCTTTCTCTGCCCCCAAAGTCTCCGTGGAAAGGGATGGCACAGAGAGCCCATTCTCCAAGTTCCCACATGCCTTCATAATCTGCAAGTGTGGTTCTCAGAAATTGCGGGACGTTTGAGTGGGCGGCTCTTTGGATGGAAGCGTCCATCCAAATGTGACTGCGGGGTCTGATAGCACGAGATTTTTCACTGAACGGTACAGTTCAGGACTTGATCTTTCCGATGTGAGGCGGCCTTTTTTCTCGTCTTTAACTGCACACATCAGAGGAGGCAAGAACCGAGCACTGCCCGGGCCCCGGCGGACCACCTCCTGTTAGAGAGCGGCTCTCTCTCCCATCTCCGCCTCTTCCTGGGCGAGTCGCCATCTCTCAAGTGAGCCTCAATTTCCCCATTAAAACCTGGAGGCTGTTTCCCAGAATGCCCATAGAGCTTGTTACAACAGCTAAGTGGGATGGCCAGAGTCTTGTCCCTAGCCACCCAAGCCAGTCACTTGGGGAGCTTTCTCAAACACCGTTCCCCAGAGCAAGGGAGCCGCAAGCTTTGGGGGTGAGGGCTGGGCCCATGCAATCGGACATGTGCTCTGCTGCTCAGTAAACTCCTCTTAATTACGAATGAAGTGACCGGGGACATTAGCTTAGACGTGGAACGGAAACATGTCCATTTCGGCGAGTTCCTCCTTCGATATCTCTTCTGACGGCCTCAAGCCAATCCTCTCACCTAGCGTCACCACTGAACTCAGTCCTCTTAAGAGTCAAAACATGTTTATTTTAAGCCATTTCTGTTGCAAACGAATGACCTGTGTCCTGATCAGTACAGAGCTGCCTTCCCTTGGAGGCGCTGGTCACCTACTGGTAGCAATTTTGTGATGCCCACAGACGTGATGGACTTGACATCCCAGGTGGCCTCATGTCCTGTCGGCAGGGCCTCAGAAACCTCAGCTCTCAAGTGGGCAGTCAAGTAATATACCTGCCCAGGTCCCATTAGAGAGCTGTGCTGTCCAGCATGGCAGCCACTGGCCGGTCATGAGAGGCATTTGAATTCAAGTAATTAAAATTATGTACAGTTACAGTTCCGTTCCTCAGTTGCACTTAACCCAGTTTAAGTGCTCAATGGCCATGCGTATCCAAGAGCTGCCATATCGGACAATGCTATTCTGGAACATCCCAGAAAGTGCTATCGGACAGCACAGTTCTGGGACATTCCGCCATTACAGGAAAGGCTATTGGACAGCGTAGCTCTGGAGCATTTTCAACATCCCTCCCTCCCACCCCTGTGTTTCCCTGGCACCTTTCCCAATCTATCCCCTCCCCCCCACCTTCAGAGGAGACCAGTCTCAGTGCGGTTTTGTGCATACAGCGTGGACAGCTGAAAAATGGCCCAAGGCATCCTTGTCCTAATCCCCGGATCTGTGGATGTGTGACCTCACATGGCAAAGGGACTTTGCAGATGGGATTAAGGATCTGGAGGTGAGGAGATGAGCCTGGATGATGCGGGTGGGCCCCGTGGACTCACAAGGTCCTTGTAAGAGGGAGGTGGAGGGTCCGAGTCAGAGGGACGCTGTGATGATGGAGGCAGAGGCCGGTGGTAGTGACATGCTTTGAAGGTGGTCTTAGGAGGGGCCCTGAGCCAAGGGACGGGGCACCTCTAGCCGTTGGGGAAGCCCGGAAACAGCCAGAAGCCTCCAGCGGGAACCAGCCTGCCCGCACCTTGACTCTCACTCCCTGAGACCCGTGTCTGCCCTCTGCCCTCCAGACTATAAGGCAACAAATGCATATTGTTGGAAGCCACTGAGTTTGGGGCAACTTGTTTGGCCACCACAGGACACTCTCCCTGTGCACGAAAGCCCACCTCACTCAAGATTCAGGCATCGTGACGTTTCCTCAGAGGACAAGAAGTGTCTTTGGTCTGAACCAGACTTTACGCCATCCTCTTCTCCTCGACCATCCTCCCCCAGCTCCACACCCAGGCTAACAGCCAGGCCCCCCACCCATCACCGGCGCACCCACGCTTGCTGGAACAGAGCTGCCTCCGCAGGCTCTGTGGGCACCCTGGAGGGCCCGTGGGGCTGCATCTGGACGAGGCATTGTAACGGGACAGGCACTGTGAGGGTGAGCTTTCCCAGCGAAGACGGTGTGCAAGGAGGTCGGGTTGCTTTCTCTGCAGTGGAGGCCAGAGCCTCGAATCGCCCAAAGCCAGACTGCAAATTGTGGAAACACCACGGGAGGCTCTGAGATTGGGGAAAAATAAAAATCTCTGCCAAGACAAACCACATCCATATCATACGTTCTCTTTGATTCGAGATGCTATTTGTGGACTGTAAGGAGTCTATGTATTCTTTAGCTCCCCGAAATGAAATGGAGGTTTTTTGGCTGCATCTCGGTGGATTCTGTATTTTCCGCGCAGGGATGGGGCCGTGGTGTGTCTGTCCGGACCCGGACTCTGAATCCCCGACACAGGCAGGCCGTCTCCGCATTTTTGACATTTCCAGAGAAAAAGATACTCTAAGTTTTTAAAAATCTAAACAAGTAATACCTACTTACTTTAGGGGGGAAAAGACTATTTGGGAAAGGAAGAGGAAGAAAACATGCAATGCTTATGTGCATGTCTCACTGTGCACCGGGCAGAAAGGTAATGTTGGGAGACAACACGATGGGTTGTTCGTAGCTTTGCATCGCTACCAGAGGGGAATATTTGTGATGCTGTGAGAATAAAAATGCCATTATCAATCAGGATGTTCCTCAGCCTCACAAAGGAAGAAAGCTCTAACACAAGCTTTAGGACGGGTGAACGTTGGGGACGTTTCACGCTAAGTGAAAGAAGCCAGTCACAAAAGCACAAATATTATAACGGTTCCACTTACGTTTTATTGTAGCGCAGTCAGAATCGCAGAGACAGACCCTCGAATCGGGGCTGCCGGGGGCTGGGGGCGGGCGTGGGCAGGGAGCGCGAACTGGGG